GCGTGCCTATCTGCCAGGCATGCCCGTACCTTCCCTTCCGAATTTGACGATGCTTCCTTCATGAAAGTTGTAGATAATGAAGTCCTCTATCCACCACAACTTATAAAACTGGATTTGAATCATCCAATCAAAAGATATGAATAAAATGGTGGAAGGTCGCATTCTGAAATCGCAACAGCGATCATCTGAATTCTTCGTCTTTTTTCACCTCCCTCCTCTCAGATTCTCGCAATGGTGTCTTCCCTTGAAGTTGGCTTTCATATGGAACTTGAATTGTGTCCTTTGGATGTTTGTACAAAAAAATATGCTTGAACGATTAACAGAAGGTCATCCTGATCGTCGTTTTCAAGCTCTATTCGTCTTCTTTGGATCCCGTAGCCACTCCTAGAGCTCTTTTGTCGTCAAAACTTCGTCGTAAACCTCCCGGTGACCTCTAAAGCTCTTGATTCATTCTCAAATGTATCTCGAATCATCCTGATTGCTTCTCAAGCGCTGGTGCTGAGCTTAAATTCCCTGATTTTGACTCCAAAAACTACAAAACTCGAACCAACACCCGGTAACTATGACTTGAGCTAAAAATGATACTTGTGACACAAAATAATTAGGGAAACCATCAAAAGCCGATCTAAACCCGCATCGAATGTGTGTCTAAATACGGACTTATCAGACCCAATTCTAATAGAACATAATGATAAGAAGAAACTGCCTAAAACTGGAATAGGAAATAACTATAATAGTCTAATTAGGAAACCAGTTATAAGTTATAATAAATATAAATAATCTTGCTGCTCAAGTTAGCCACTTTTAGTGTCACGGACTAGAGGTTCTGCTTGGGCCTCACTTGCATGGATTGTGTCTCTTTGGCCCAATCGGTGTCGCTGATAGGCACGACCCCAAAATGCATCCATATCATCACTCCTATGCGGTTGACAAGAGTAGGCCGGCTTAGTCCCTATGATAACAACTCAGAACACTGCTTTTTGATCTCGTCTTTTTGGAAGTATGGATATATGTATGGTATCACGACAACTGCCCCAGCTCCTGGAATGAGGTATATCATGTGATCACACAATCTTTGGGGAGGGAGGCCTGCTGGTGTGCCAAAGATGTCTTCGAACTGGGATAGCAGACCGGTCATGGACTCCTGAGAGAGGGATGAGTATACTGCCATATGGACATGAAGTACATGAAGTGAATGAATTGCTTCTTGGCACGCCACTCAACAGATGCTCCCTGCCACGCATGGACAAACGCCGAAAATCCGATAAAATAGCTCCAAGGCCTTGCAACCAGTGGATACCCAAAGTCATGTCAAAACCTGCTATTGACTGAATATAAAAGTCTGCTGTAAATTCTTTCCCATCAACGTGGAATACCAAGTGTGGACAAGAACCAAGGATTGGAACTCGGTCATTGTTAGCGACAATAACATGCCAACATGGCTGTTGTGGCGGCTGCATCAAGTGTGGTTGTAAAGTGCTTGTGGATGAAGTTGTGTCTAGTGTGTGCTTCCTGAATCAACCAAAATTTTTATTAGGTGGTCTTGTAGACAACTGTTTAATTGCATGGTTGAGGATGAGCCAAACCCGGTCATCGTGTGAAGTGACAAGGGTTGATCGGGTTCAGAGTCCTGAAAGTTTTGCATTGCTTGTTCCTCATCGATGATGTCAAGGAAGAACAATCTCTTGCAACGATGTCCGCGGACCCATTGAGTATCACAGTTGTATCACAACCTTTTAGGGTGTCGTATTGCGGCTTCGACTTGGGTAATTTTTTTGAACGGGGAAAGCTGCGTCTAGTCGTAGTGGTGTCCGGCAGAGAGGATGGTATGGCTGCATGGGTTGGTGATTTAGTTGCATGTTGGATGTGCCCAGTCATTGTTTGTGGCACGGTTAGGGACACAAATTTGCGCTCGCAGTTACAGGCCCACATCATTGCAGAGTCAGTCAAGTGGGTCCTGATTTTCTACTTCTATGCGCACTGCCTCACGTTCAGCTGTAAAAATCTTCACCTGCATGCGTATTGATAAGCTGCTAATCCGTGCTAATTTATGATTCTAGATCAGTTGTTTGGACCAATTTGGCGAGATCACCCTCTGGGTTGGCGCTGCAAGGATACAATTGTGATGATCAATGGGTCCACGGACATCGTTGCAGCGCCCCGAAGCGTCTAGAGAATTTAGTATAAAATTCTGTCCATGTGAGACCAGCTCCTGAGGGGTCTAGTTGATCGGCCCATTGCTGAGAGCCTGAGCAGTGCCTACCATGTGGAATGTTGCTAGTTCGATGCGTGCCTGTGGTGATGTCCTTTTTGGGAAATGAAACGCTCACAACGTTTGAGGCAAGAGAGGGGGTCGCTCTTACCATCAAATTGGGGAATTTCCAATTTAGAAAATTTGGGAACATTGTGGTTGTCACTATCCCGGTGGCGGTTATCTGTTTCTCGGCAACGACCAAACCCAGGTGGATCCAAGGGGAAACTTGTCATCGCGAGTTGCTGCGCACTGCTTTTGTCAATGCCATGGCTGCTGCTGGCAATTGTTCGAGGCGTGCAACGGCTGCTGGCAAAGTTTCGAGGCAGGTGACGGATGGTTTGAGGGCAGATAATTGTTCTTCAACATCAACTTGTCCTGGTCAATGGACTCAATCATATGTTTGAGAGGTTCGGTTGCTGAGTTTCCCACAATCGTTCCTGAAGCTGATACCAAGTTGTTAAGAGTGCGGGAACAAGATCTCGTCCTAGGTCAAGAATGGGAGGATGGAAGCGATCTAGGGTAGAGAGAAAGATTAATTTTCGTATTTATTATGAGCACAGAGCACCCAAAGAGAAACGAAAATAATAATCTTTAGTGGAATTAATCTGGTCTGTGACCTAGTCAAGACCCCCTGGGATTAATTCTTTCAAAAGGTCCCGTAGTAATCAATACCAGGGTCCCTGATATAGCTACCATAAGACCCTAACTCTAATAGGACATAATGATAAGAATAGACTGCCTAAAACTGGAATAGGAAATACGTATAGTAATCTTGCTGCTCAAGTTAGCCACTTTTAGTGTCCCGGACTACAGGTTCTGGTTATGTCTCACTTGCATTGATTGTGCCTCTTTGGCCCAATCGACGTCACTGATAGGCACGATCCCAGAATGCATCTATGTCACGAGCCATTGAGGTGGCAAACCAGGATGCTCCCTGTAGCAAACCTGGATGTTTTGCATTCAAACTTCTTTCTTAAAATCTCCATTAGAAAAGCATTCTTGATATCTGATTGATATAGCAGCATTTCCAAATGGCAGACATAGCTAGTACAAATGTACAATGTGAACTGACGTAATTTTCGCAATTAGAGAGAACATATCTGTCTAGTTGACCCATTCTACCTTTCCAACAATTCTGGCTTGTAAGCCCATCTACCTGAATAGATGGACATTATGACCAACCTCGACAATATAAAATCATCTACATCCCGCGACAGGCTTATGTGGAGGTAAATGAACAAGTTCCTATGTCCCAGTTGATTGAGGAGCTTCCATTTCATCGGCCATTGCCTTTTTCCAATCTGGACTAAGCAATACTTCCTTGAGACTTGTAGGGACCCTGACGGAAGAAGGGCATGTAATGAAAGCACAATATCATGATGACAATCAGTAATCAGTTATATGAGAGGAAGTTAAAGGTAGGATAAGGATTGTGGCTATACCTTGTACCTATTCTGCCGGGAATTTGAAGAGTATCATTGTTTCTTGGGTCAACTGTGTATATAATCATGGCACAATATGCGAATCACTTGGATTTTTTTCATTGGGAAATGGCCAGGATCACTATTCTGACGATGTTGGTGCTGATAGGTATAAGCGAATTGCACCACTGAATGATTCTCAGGAATGACTTGGGCAGTTAATTTTTTGTGGCAATATTGGGGATGTACTTGGACAGACATACCTGTCAGAGTGTTCAGGATCAGAAAAGTTTGGATGGGAGGAATATGCTGCACTTATGATTGATCTTACGATTAAGACAAATAGTTGCATTCGGGGTGTCAAGTTCAACATATGTTCAGGCTTGGTGCCAAAGGAAGTTCTCTATTGTAAGGTTTGAAATGACTAAATGGTCTGACTGTAAAAGTTGCTGAACTTATACGACTGAAATGACTAAATCTGCTGAAATATCTAAAATAAACTATTTATAAGCATATATTTAAATGCGTTCAGAAAATCATTTCTAAAAAGAAAATAGGATTATCAATTTCATTCCAGTAGTAACTTGCCTTTTCTTTAAATATTGTAAGCTGAATCAGCGGTTACTTTTTAGTGAAAAAACTGACTACTAAGGGCTAAAACTGACTACTAAGATTGATAAGCCAAAATCAAGCCCCTACCAAGTGGGCTCTCAGCCAAGCATTGTGTAATGGGCAAGTTCGTGTAAGCACATTTTACTTGACAGTTAAGTCTTTACTCAACCCTCCTAATAATTGTTGCAAACACCGCCTATCTAGGCACTAGGCTCTCAATGAGCCCCAAAGTCTTTTTCCTATTTCTTTCCCATCATTCCGCTCAACCCCCAACTGGGTTTTAGGCTCCACTATGTTTCCTCAGGGTCCATTTGGAACCTAGGAAATACTAGAGAAAGAAAATAGGAAGGAAAACATATGGAAAATTTGAAAGAAAGAAATGTTGGAGAAATTAAAATATAGGCCAGAACATAAATCTGATTTTGAATATATGTTGATATTCATTTTATTTATGTCTTTTATGTAAGGACTATGGAATCTGAATATTGGTTAATTTTTTATTTAAACTAATCATGCTTGATTTGCCACTGTTCCATTCAATTTTTCCATGCTAAAACGGAACATAAGAAAATAGCTTCCCTCGACATTTCTTCCACTATTTCCTACTATTTTCTGGGGTCCATATATACCCCAAGGGATCTTAGTTCATGCAATAGATAGGTCATCATTGTATGTGCATACACGCATGTATTTACAAAGTTTTACATGTGCAGGACAATGTGCGGAACCAACTTATACAGTTTGAGCTGATACTAACCACTGCAACATTCGTAGTTGCAATCTTTGGTGTGGTTGCGGGTATATTTGGAATGAATTTTGAGATCCCGATGTTCCAATACGACAATGCGTTTAAATGGGTGCTTATAATCACCGGGGTTTGTGGACTCGTGATTTTCCTCTCCTTTCTGTGGTATTTTAAGTACAGAAGATTGATGCCACTATAGATAGCAGAGATTTGAAAGAATTGGGGGGGGGGGGGGTTGGGGTTGGGGGGGGGGGGCAAGGAGAAAGTTGTGTTAACCACGTAGCTGTAATTAGCAGTTGTACAAACGCACTTCACGCATGAATATAACTCATTGTGAAATTGTGGTTATTATTGAAAAGAAGACTTTTCCATTCATTTCTCTTGTTAATATTGTTTTTTTTGTATACATGGGAGTTGCACCAGGGGGGGGGGGGAGGACTCGTTCCCTTTTGCATGAAAAAATGTGATTTTAAGACACGTTTGTTTAACTCGTTTTGAATTTATCTAAATATGTCTAGTTTGATTTGGTTTGAATGTTTTTGGTCTGGAAAGTATTTGAATGTCCGATCTTGTGTAGTTTTCTTGTTAGATATATAACATAGTGGAAACTGGAAACTACACGTAAGGTCTTCTTTTGCATCTAGACTTTCATTAGCATGGTGTAGGGCATCTGCAAATGGCTCATCAAACCATAGGTCTTCTTTTGCATCTCCATAGGTCTTCTTTTACATCTAGACTTTCATTAGCATGGTATACATGGAAGATTTTCATATATTAACCCCCCGGGAGAGTCAATAGAGCTAAACTCTGATAATGTCGTTTATTGGGCTAACCGTGCTTTCACCCATATTAAATTGGAGGACTATGGTAGCGTTGTACAAGATGCTACTAAGGGAGTGTTTGCGCTTTTCAAAAGTGATTTATTGTAAAAGTAGATAGTGTTTGGGAATAAAAGTGATTTTAATTAAAATGTAAAAGTTGGAGTGTTTGTTAAAATTTAAAAAAAGTGATTTTTGATAAGATATTTTGTTAAAGACAAAAATGTCCATTATATCTCCACCAACGAGTTGTCTTCCATCCCACGAACAAAATTCTGCTGCCAAACTCGAAGACCTAAAAGGCTAAAATCAAACAAAAACATGAATTTGGGAGCTTCTCTTCTCTCTCTGGTCCAACCACTTTGAAATCCATGAGGAGCTCCTCTTCTATTCCATGAACCTCAACTTGTACCAGTCAAGTGGAATATGGAGTCCATGTCTAAAAAAAGAGGCGTCCAAGTCAACCCATCAAATAATCCACTTGGATTTTGGGTGAGCCGCATCGTCCACCTTGTTTTTGAAGAGGCAGAGTAGCAAATAATGGTCTCTGTATTCTTGTACGCCGTCGTCTGCAAACCGGTGGCTGGTGGGGTTCGTTGAACAGAATCGGTACCAGAGCCAACAAGGTCTGACAGCAAGATAGATGAGGGAAGGGTAATCTGGGTTTACTCAAAATATATAACTTAATAACCATCCTCAAAGTTCCATTTATTTACCAATGAACCAAGAAGCAGTTTAAAAGCTGGGCTGGGGTAGCTTTTAGATTTTGGCTTTAAAGCACTTTTTTTAAGTCAAAGTTGGGGTTACCAAACACTTAGGATTGCTTTTTTTTAATCTAAAAGCTCCAAAGTGCTTTTTTTAAGCAAACAAAAACACTCCCTAAGGCTATTGAGATTAACCCTAAAAATTCCAAGGTATGTTTTGATACTTAGAAAGATAGAGAAAGTGTAATATTGTTTTGGATTTAAAATTCTCATGGGTATGTTTGGTTGTTTAAGGTCTTATTTTTGTTGCATCTCCACTGAATTTGTTTGGTTACTATAGCCAAGGGGCTGCCTATTTAGCAATGGGGAAGCTTAAAGATGCACCCAAGGATTTTCAACAGTTTTTTCCTTTTTCCTTCATTATTTTTTGTGACTATTTTAGTTTGTGTTATTGATTTAGTGTGTCATTTAATATATACCCGGTGCCTCATGTAGCCACTGGGTCCGGTCCGGGTTCGGGCCGGGCCTCGGGTCATTTTTTTTCCTTTTCCTAATTTACCCCCCCCCCCCCCCCAACCCCCAACCCCCAAACCACCCCAAATGGCTCAAAATACCCAGCCCAACCTCGGGCCTCGGGCATGTGGTTTCGGGATCGGGAATTGCTGTTGATAACAAGAAGACAGAAGCCATTACCGAATGGGAGAGGCCAAAGGACGTCAAGGAAATTCGTAGTTTCCTTGGATTGGCAGGCTACTACAGAAAGTTCGTGGATAAGTTCTCTGTTTTGGCATCGCCATTGACGAAGCTCACTCGTAAAGGAGCTAAGTTTGTATGGGATGACAAATGTGAGAAAGGGTTCATGGAACTAAAGAGGAGATTGACCGAGGCACCGGTACTCGCATTACCCAAACAAGGTATGAGGTACGATGTCTATAGCGATGCTAGCATCCAAGGACTTGGATGTGTGTTAATGCACAATGGGAGGGTAATTGCCTATGCTTCACGACGGTTGAAGAAGCATGAGGTAAACTATCATACTCATGATTTAGAGTTGGGGGCGGTGGTATTTGCACTGAAGATTCGGAGGCATCATCTATACGGGGAGGCATGTCACATATACACTGACCACAAAAGCTTGAAGTATGTGCTTACTCAGAAAGAGTTAAACATGAAGCAGAGGCGATGGATGGAGTTGATAAAGGACTACCATCTTATCATTGAGTACCACTCCGGTAAAGCCAACGTTGTAGCAGATGCGCTCAGTCGGAAGAGTTCGTCTGGGGCATTGCTAGCTAAGTTGAGGGCATTAAGAGCCCAGCTGGAGGTGCCCAGCGATGGTGCCTTGCTAGCTAGATTCGAGGCGAGACCTACATTACGTGATGAGATCAAGAAGGGTCAAGAAACTGACGAAGGTTTCACCTTGGAAGGGAATCATCCGATTCCAAAGTCGAGGAAAACTTAACCCACGCTACATCGGGCCATTTGTAATTCTTGAAAGAATTGGAGCCGTGGTATACAGACTTCAGTTGACTCCGGAATTGGAGAAGATACATAACGTGTTCCACGTGTCTATACTAAAGAAATATGTACCGGATCCGTCTCACGTGTTAGAAAAACCACCCGTGGGAATACGTGAGGATTTAAACTACGCCGTCCGACCAGTAAGGATACTTGATAGGCAAGTAAAGAAATTGAGAAGCAAGAAAGTTCCAATGGTTAAAATCCTTTGGAAAAGTGACCGAGTTGAAGAAGAAACTTGGGAAGCGGAAGCCTTGATGAAGGAACAATATGCATTTCTTTTTGATTGAGCATTTGTGAATTTCGGGGACGAAATTCCCGTTAAGGGGGGGTGAACTTGTGACACCGCACCCGGATGTACTTGGATTCGAAATTTGATATGTATTTGAATTTCCTAACGAATAAATCGTGTAACGGAATTTGTATATTTAATTAATGCGTGATTAATTACATTATTTATCGGGTCCCTAATGATGGAAATGGACTCCCAAATATTTAGATGGGCCATGGAAAGGGCATGGAGTCGACCTGTTGGTCAAACGAGGCCCAATTACCGGTATTGGTAATTTATCGGATAACAGCCCGAAATGAATTTCGGGGACTTCTAAATTAATGTTGGGGAACATACGTCTTCTCTAAAGGCCCATGACTATGAGGATCGCGAGATATATTTTATTTGGCCCGATAAAATAAAATATAATTAATACAGTCTGAGAAATACAACTTTCGGGGCTGGTTGTACACACCGGGACATAATGGGATGACCTCCCACGTTTTTGTGCACTCTAATTGACAAAATGGGAGCTGGAAGAGACAAGAGGAGGGTGTGATGCGGACTAGAGAAAAGGGGGATGGTTTGAGACAAAACCCACACCCCCATGTCCTATCCTACACATTATTATGTGTTGATTGAGAAGGACTCTCCCCCTACCATTGCATCCACTCGGCCAGAACAAGGGAAGAGAGCCCAAGGAAACCCAAAGTCCTCAAGGTCTCATTCAAGGGAGAAGAAGCTGGGAAGATCCACAAGGAAATAGTTGAGTTCAAGGTAAGAACTCCACAACCATGGTTTAACTAGTTTTGTGTTGTATGATTTTTAAGAAATCATGTGGTGGATTAAACCATGAGTTTTACACGTTTAAAAGTGTATATTATTGTTATAAAGTGATGGTATTTAACTTAGAAGAGTCGTGGAATCGATAGGAGTTGAAACCGCCGGAAACCGCCAAGTGTAGGAGGCTGTTCGTAGTAGCAGACGACGAAAGCCGCCCAGCTTTCGTGAAAGCCGCCCGGCTTTCACCTTCTGCCCAGACGTTTCGCTTTCGATCGGTTCAGAACGAGGATTGGTCGGGGAGCTTAATAAAGGCAACTATTTCAGCACTTCATAAGGTGAGGATGGCTGACTATATTGCTTATAATCTTTGGGTTAATTTCATGAGATTACCTAAGGTAATTAAATATGTTTTTAAGGATTATTAATGATTAATAATGCCTAAGAATGAGAAGACTATTGTCTATAAGGAAAAGAGCATAATATACAAATTTGTAAGAGATTGTGTATGATTATGTGATATGAAAGAAATGGTATGGTAATGGAATTAACTATGAAAATTGTGATAAAATATACTTTTACTTCATGTATGAAATTCATGAATGGATAAAAGTGATATTTTTGATATTGGGATTAAATCATATTTGGATTGGAAAATCAATTGAGATAAACTATTTGGTTATGAATTTAGAACTTGGTCGTTCTAAGGTTATTCGACTAGTATCGAAATACTAGTCGGGAGATTTATATAAATAAATGATGGAATTAATCCTAAGAGATAGGATTGTGAATAGATATGCCTTAAGTAGTCTTAAGAGATGCTTTAAGGTCGAATTGTATGAACACTAAGGTGTGTTAGGGGTAGGCCTAAAGGCTATCCAAGTGAATTGATTCTAGGCATAGGATTTGCTTGAGAATTGAGCTATGAAAATAAATTAGAGTCGGACTCTAGGATTACATGGAAATGTAGTTGGGCCGAGCCCTTGCCATGTAACGTGATTAGCATGGAAACGTAGTTGGGCCGAGCCCTTGCCATGCATTGTGATCTTCATGGAAACGTAGTTGGGCCGAGCCCTTGCCATGAAGTTATGGTTGGTATGGAAACGTAGTTGGGCCGAGCCCTTGCCATACAAATTTAGATATATTAAATTGAGTTAAAGGATTGTATAGAAATGTAGTTGGGCCGAGCCCTTGCTATACAATCGGGACTCGAGGGAACCCTATGGGGTTGTCGTGACTCATGGTCACGGAAAGTGAAAATGGTAAATTCTAAATGAATATGGGCCCACGGGCCGACTACTTGACTTTATATAAAGTAAGTATATTTATAAAACAGGGTAACCGGGGGTTACGGCCTACGATATAATATCACTCTATTTGAGGGTCTTAAGAAATTGAAACATTGATTATACTTAGTATAGTTGTCATTGTACTTGTCAAATGCTTCCAAGTACTGACCTCCCCTTCACGGGGGAGGCCACCTCACAGTTTCAGGTAGAACTTGAAGAGTTGCTGCCACCCCCCCGTTGCTTCGGGGAGATCAAGGGAAGAAGACGTGGTTCGTGCTTCTTCCGTTTCTGTTTCGAAAACAATCTAAATAATGCTCATGGATATTATTTTTGAATAATCATTCGGGGGCTTGTATGCCCATGTTTGCCGAGTGTGGCATAAACACTTGTATTAAATGTTTCCGCTGCTTAAATGAATATTTTACATTATGCTTGTTTATGGATGTACTATGTGTGAATGATATTCAAGACGCCTTGTATAGTATGGATGAGTCGGACTGCGGTTGACTATTCGTACTGTACGGCGGGTTGTTGACGTGTCCGGATAGGCCCGGGGCGTGACACGCGCAAACACACATATATAAGTACCTTAAATGATAAACTTGGGTTTATGAATATCAAAACAAGAAAAAACATGAAGAAACATAAAGAAACAAAAAACTCTAATTATCAACACAAAGAAACAATACGCTAAAATTTACAATAAGCTGATAATAATTTGATTTTTTTTAACTATTTTTAAAAAACCTTCACATAGAAAATTCATATTTTATATTTTCCAACTTTTAAATTTTTCTGCGCGTTTGATATTTTAATATTTCACAATTTGCATTGTATTTATCGGGGTTTAGATATTTACATTGTTTGTTTCTTAGATTAGTTTTGATTTTTTAAAATCTTATTAATTTTTATTTGTAATTTAACTTTACATACAAATTTTAATTTGGATATTTTAATAATTTCATATTTTATACGGGATATATATATATTTTAATTTTAAGGATTTTTTAATTTGTATGTATTCCCATTTTTTTTACTATTTTGTAAATAGTTCTAATTAGTTTAGATATTCAGAAAAGTATTACCTTATTTTATATTTTCTGTTTATAATTTTTTACGTTTTTAACCACTTCAATTTATATTTTCAGAAAAGATACAGGTTGGCGGCATCGCCCGTGAAGGAGAGCAGCAACAAAGTAGCTTGAAATGTGAGATTAGTTTAGGAAGATTGGGGTATTTTAGTTATTTCCATTTTAATTTAAAATGATCACATATTTGTTCAAATATAAATGATTATGTTTTTGTCAATCCAAAAATTCTGCAAACAATCCGTCGATATACATGGCTATGCATTTGAACCAATCCACAATGGCATGCTCTAAAAGTTTAAAACCGACATTCCCTGCAGGTTTTTCTCTTTGGCGCGAACAGCCAACGATCATCCCTTTGCTCCGCTGGTTGTCTCTTTTAATTTCCACTTCTCCATCTCTGCATTCTCGGAAGAGTTTCAATGGAATTATTAGCAACCGAAGATTTCAAGTGTCAGAAGCCATTTCAACTTTCTGTTTGCCATCCTGTTGTCATGTTTTGATTTAGCTTTTTCGATATTTCATACAGTTTCAGGTAAATACAATGTCTGGTTTAGCCCTTTTTCGAGAATTCAATTTGATGTGAGGTCATTTTGGTATTAAATGAAAAATTATGAATCAGATTAGGAATGTATTAAGCGCATGGGAAGTGGAGTTTATGCGGATTATTATTCCCCTTTCTTGGGTATTATTCAGACGAAGAGAAATTTGGATGTTTGAAATAGTTGTAGATGCCCTTGGGTGCAGAAAATTCTTTAATTCTCCATGTCCTATGGATTTTCTCTCTCTTTACTTTGCTACTATTTGATTCCAAACCTTTGTGGTGTGGTCGGATTGGTAGATATTAGATAGTGAAGAGAAAGTAGCCTGAGAGGAATGATCAACTTTCCATCATTTTAGTTCCACATGGGGGAGAAAAATATTCGACATGATAGAAGATTATACTGTACCTTCTCATCCTTCTCATCCAATCAAGAATAATTTGTACTTTTATAAATATTGCCTTCCTCTCATTTTAGTTTCAACAAACCAAGCACACTAGTAGTACACTCAGTGTAGGTTCACTAGGTTGATGTGTAAATAGAAGAAAAGTTATGATGTATGCGGTGTGAAAAGGGAGAAGTTTAATGCATTTTCATATTCCCCTGACGAAAATTCACTATATGCATGTACACAGATGTATGTGCGTAATATGTTGCTTCAATGCTGATATGCTGTTGATCATTGGTTAAATGTGATGATGTGATCACTATAGCTACTTCTTATGACATATATTCGTGATTATTATTAATTATCTCCACATTGATTTTTTGAAATTGTTTTGTTTATGCACATGACTGATCAGGCAAACTAGAGACACAAAGTCACTATCAATGCTATTTGTCATTTATAAGAATCAAATGATACCTAGTATATGTTTTTTCTTTTTTCTGTACAGGAATGCAATCCATATGATGTTTTAATGTGTCCACATGTCAACTAAAGGAAATATGATATGTTATCCTGTATGGGCTGATTCTGTGATCAACCTTTTATTCATGCTCAATGTAGTTTGGTTTCCACAATGTTCAAGTCACAGTATATTGGAGGGCGGAAGGAGAAGTTTGTAAGGTGTGTTATAAAATTAAATCATGTTAAGTTCCTCAGAGTACATGTAGGTGGTCCGCGGGCTTCTGTAACAAATGAAACCATTACGGCGCTTCTGGTTTAATTGGAAGAAGTGTCGTATATCCCTTTTGGGAAAGGTAATTTGAAATGGTTGAATTTGCTGAATATGAACAGAAAAGCTTTTGTCGCATCCATTTCATCTAAATAAGTCAGAATAAGCAAAATAAGTCACTTTTGACTGCCAAAAGGAACTTCATTATCAACATGGTGTGGTTCAATCTGCTCAATATTTTAATAAAGATCATTTAAAAATATAAATTTAAAAATCAAGAAAAAAGTCTAAAAACGGAAAAACTATCAATTTAAGCTAGAATTCCAAAAAGTAACTCATGCACTACTATTGTTCATTACAAGTCATTTCAGGGCACACTCCGGAACAATGAAATATGTTAGCCTTGATGGAAAAAAATCATTATCATCATTACCCCAGTGCCGCAAAGGCTCCCACCTACTAAAGCACAAAGAGTCTGTTTCTAGATGACCATAGTGAAAATCGCGTAAAAATTGCATGGACAGACTGCTTCTTCATAACAAAGAAGCGCATACAGTTTAGTGAGCCATTTTGCTTTATTCCATCATATCCCCAAGCAAAAAAGAAAAGCCAAAAATAATGTTTGCCAAACATGTTCTCATATTTCATCAATATCATACTCCCTCCGTCCCTTATAACTTTGCCAACTTTCCTTTTTTGGATGTCCCATTAACTTTGCCACTTTCCCATTTAAGTAAAGAATTTGTGGTTCCAATTAATTCTCTCTCCTCTTCACAAACCTCAACCACACAGTTTTTACTTTATTAATCCCTATGCCGGTCAAACTTGGCAAATTATTAGGGACGGAGGGAGTATGTTTTACTGAAACTCATTGAGTTATTATCTATATGATTCTGTTTGATACACAGACTGGATGACATTGACTCTAGAACATCATCATTCACATCCAATATGGCTGCTGGGAAGAAGAATTGTGGTTTTAGTTTTGACGGAATGACTTCTGGTGGACAATCTCACAACCCTTCTTCAATGTCAGTTAGACAAGGGGTTATGAGAGGGTCTGAGGGACTAATGACGTTTGGCAGATCAATAAAATCTGGAGTTGTACGAGCAGTGTTCCCAGAAGATCTCGGAGTCTCTGAGAAAAGGATATTTGATCCTCAGGATGAGACTCTCATACTTTTGAATAGGCTATTTGTTATTTCGTGTATTTTTTCTGTATCAGCTGATCCTCTATTCCTCTATCTTCCTGTTTTCAACAGTGAAGCCAGCTGTCTTCATTTAGATACAAGTTTGGCATACACGATAACTACCTTGAGGACGATCATTGATTCCTTTTATCTCATTCGAGTGGTACTCCAATTCCGCACGGCCTACATTGCTCCTTCATCTCGGGTTTTCGGACGAGGTGAACTTGTGATTGATCCCAAGCAGATAGCACACAGATATCTACGTCGTTATTTTGTGGTAGATCTTCTTTCTATTCTCCCCCTGCCTCAGGTTTGTTTCCATTCCCCACCTAACATTTGAAAAGTTTATATTCATGAAGTTGGGTCTAGGTCACACTACAATGATTATGAAGATATGATATTATGATGCTTATGCTATGGATCCATTCTATGAAAAAGTATATCAACAAAGGTGTGGCTGAAAAAGTTTAGGAAATTTAGTCGGGCCAATCGAGAAAGATCAGGATGGTTTACGTGCTGACCAGGTGGCTAAGAAAAGCTGGCAGCATTCAATTAATTAGATCCTAGTTATTTCAGATTCATAGTTATTTCCTTATTCAGTTAGGAAAGCTGGCAGCATTTAATTAATTAAATCCTAGTTATTTCCTTATCCAGTTAGGAAACATCCTATTAGGACTCTTTTAGTCTCTATATAAGGGGCCTAATATTTATTAATAAAGTACTTTTTGGAAGATTGATTTTAATATATCTATCACTCCTCTTCTCTTCTAAGATCCTGTTTGATGCCTTGGACATGGTCGTATGCGCGAGTCCTTATCAGTTTACCTCATCAACTTTTACACTAGACTCTAACCCATTAGACTCAAATCGTGGAACACAACAATTGAGTAATGTACTGATGTCAAAAAACAGAATAGTAGTGAATGCATTTAGTGGAATAACACTCATATGCATATTTGCGCCTGGTTACTCAACTCAATGGTCCCTTCAACGTTAGTCATAATGGATGGCATTGCGGCTGGGAAAACACTGAAGGTGTTTTCATTAAGAGAGATCATTGTTGTTGTTAATGGAGATGAGACTATTGAAGAGTTTTACCTGCCTTTAAGCGAGTTTTACCTGCCTTTAAGCAGACTATGTCTACTTCTCGCCCATGAAAGTTGCACAAAAAAGGACTATGAAATATCTAAAAAAAATTCAACCTGACATTTGTGCATAGGAGTGGGGTGATGCTGGCGTAAACAACGATTCCCTCCACCGGAGAAGGTTGTTACAGCTATGATGCACAAAGTCACATTGGGCTGCAGACTAGGACAAGTAGACTACAACGTATGCGATTAGTCTTGGCGGTCTCAAATTTATGTGACACAGGTGCACATGTGGACACTCATAGGTGCTACAAATGTGGGAAAATAGGCTATCTCACATAAGGATGTCCTAAGCCACTTAACAAGAGAGAGAGATAGGTGGACATTGAGCATTAGGAGGCCGTGGTGGCCAAAGGGCTGGAAGAGAAGGCTACGAGGAAAATGTAATGGTAGCATATAACGAGGGAGAAAAATGCGTGGACTTTCGTGATGACGGTTATGAATTGCTTGAAATGTTGAAAAAGAAACAAAGAACAGCTTCATGAGGACAAAAAGAGAGTGACCTCATTATCATCCATGTCTAAAAAGTTTCCATCATCCTTGCCTCGTCCCCAGTTACTCATAGCTCTGCCCATGTCCACAAGCTCTGTGTAGATTTTTATATTTTATTTGCATATTATTTCACCCCAAAATCTTTTGGGAATAAGGCTTGAATGTTGTTGTTGTTGCATATTATTTCAATTCATTGAATACACACACACACACTTATGCATGCGATGATATATTGCTAGAAGAACAAGGAATAATTGCTGATTGATTTGCTTTGTTGATTTTATTCTAATTTGATTTTAGGGGAAATCTTACTTTTAGTCCCTCAATTAGTGCTCTCATTGAAAGTCTTTGAGTTTTTAATTTTGTAAATGTCATCCCCTAGTTGTTCGGTTTTTTCTAAATATTGTCCTCGCTGTTAAAATTGAACCAACACTGTTAGGGTTGTAACATTTTTTTTTGTTACAACAGAAATAAAAACAAGAAAAAAACATATTAAAATCTAATACTCTCTAACCCTTTAGCATCCTTCCAAAGAATTTGTTTGATCCAATTTGGAGCTGATTCAAGAACTGAAAGACCCTTTGGAGCTTGATGTGCATCATTAGCAAGCCTATCGACACATTTATATCCTTAACGGTAGATATGTTTAATGTGAACGAATCGGCCATCCTCGAGCACTCTTCGACAATCTCGAACTAGGACTCCGATATTAGATGTCCACGAGCCATGTCTCCTCTTGAGAGCCTTTATCATACTCTCTCAATCCACTTCCACGATGACCTTCTTCAAATCCAACTCTTTAACCAACAACAATCCCTGACGAAGTTCCCAGAGTTCTGCTTTGAAGCTACCAGTTCTCCCAATGTTCAATGTGAAGCCAAGAATCCATCCCCCTTTGTGATTCCGAATAACTCCACCCGCTCCTGCTTGTCTCCCGTTATCCCGTTATCCCGTTGGTTAGGGTTGTAACATGCGGTGAAAAATTAGTCATTCCAAAAATCTTCACACAAATTATTTTTGTTTCTAAAGTTAGGCCACAAATGTAAAATGTCGTTTAGAAAAAATCTAATTTTACGGTCAACAAATGTCCGGCACACTGCACAAACAAAAAAAAAAATCCCAATAGGGTTAAAAAATTGCATCATTTTTGTACACATTTTCTTTGCACAAAAAATTGTAACACATTTGTGGCAAAAATTTCTTTTCACAAATAATTTTTGTCTCTAAAGTTAGGTTACAAGTATAAAATGTTTGTCGGAAAAAATCTAATTTTACAGTCAATAAATGTCCGACACACCGCACACACAAAAAGTGTTTTCGATAGAGCCAAAAAATTATACTCCCCCCGTCCCGCTATTAACTTCCTACTTTGACCTACACACATATTTAGGAAATAAATTTGACTTTACTGCTTAGCTAGTAAAGTGCTTGGCTAGTTTTATAGATAATAAATATTTGACATAAATAAAAAAAATTCAAACAAGAGTAAAAAAGTTATATAATTTTTGTGCACACTCAATATTAATCGCACCGACTTTTTTTTCCCTTTGAAGTTAGGTCACAAAAAAAAATGTAAGCCGAAAAAAATAAAAATTTATGGATAATAATTGTCTGTTCGAGGTAACTTGATTTTTTGGAAGAGCAAGTAGCTAGTTGTAAGGTGACAACAAAAAATGGATCGAGAGACTAAAATAAATTTGTGCCGTGACAACCAGACAGCAATCAACGTTTCCCATAATCCTGTGGAGCATGACAGATTCAAACATGTTGAAATTGATGTGTTTTTCATCACAGAAGTTAAATAGTGGTCTATTGGAGCTAAGTCATATTTCATCTAAGGAGCAATTGCCTTATACATTGTCTCATCAAGGGACTGAATTCATTATAGTTATCTAAATTGTTGTCTAAACTATGTGATAAGATGGGCTCAATAGATATACTTCGTCCATCTTGATGGCAGTGTTAGAGAAGCCCTTCTAATTAGTTTGGTGTATAGAAGAAGCTGCTAGTAGTATATAGAGGAAGCCACTTGTATAAGTAGGGAAAAGTCAAAACACGTGTATAAATAAACTTACAGACCACTAAGTATCTTCACAAATTTCTAAAATTTGAAACTTTTCGTAAGCTTCCAATTGTCATGCGAAGAGAAAAGGTCTATGTAAATCTCTTCCTCCCTGAACTTACTAATTTGGCTTGGGTTCCTTTTCCCTATCCTAAAGTTGCAAGAAATTTAATATCATTACTTTTATTTGTATCCTTCAAGTCTTTCCATCTGCAGATTGTGGTTTGGAGATTCCTTCATGGATCCAAAGGCTCAGATGTATTAGGTACAAAGAGAGCTTTAGTTTTCATCGTCATTTTTCAACAGATTCCTAGGTTTTTGCGGTTTGTTCCTCTAAATTCAGACTTAAAGAAGACTTCTGGAGTCTTTGCTGAAACAGCGTGGCTTGGTGCTGCATATTATATGTTGTGGTTTATGCTAGCTAGTCATGTGAGTAAATCATAAGCATCCATACTGCAGTCAACATTTATTTGATGATTTGTTTATAGTTTCTTACATATATTTATATTTATTAGTCTCTATATAATATTAGATTATATGAAGTTTAAAGAGTGTGGGCTAATCTGATGGATTGAAGCGTCTCCCCAAACAATTCTTTAAAACAAAATCTGATTATAGTTTTAATCTATGTAATAAACAAAAGTTCACGGTTAGCATAAAATATTCTTCAATAAAATTGTTTTAATAAACACCGACAACCATTCAAGTTGCAGGCATCTAGCCAATCGACTGTCAAAGCAAGTATGTTTCGCGGGTCCAACTTGGGTGTTAGGTTATATTAATATTATATATTCTCAGTTAAATAAGAGATGGCAATAAAATGATAGTGTTGCACAGAGCTGCCTGTCATATCTTCAGTTTCGGCCGGGCCGAATCGGCCCTATGCGCAAGATAAGAGCAGTTGGCAAATACTTTCACCATTGAATATTGCCAGTCACATGTGGTTTCATAATATGAGTGCAGATATTTGGAGCCTATTGGTACCTATTAGCTGTGGAACGTAAAAATGCATGCTGGGAAAAGGCATGTTGGGAGGATGCAAATTGTGTTGCAAATTACTCTTTACTGTACTGTGCTCAAGATGGAGAGAGCAGGGCAAATATAACAAATTGGAGAGATATTAGTCAACAAGTTCTCAACACAAAGTGTGCTGCTGATGAGAACTCCACGTTTAAATATGGTATCTATGCGCAAGCTGTCTCATCTGGTATTCTTGACTCTGAAGATTTCATCTCCAAATACTGTTATTGCTTGTGGTGGGGCCTGCAAAACCTGAGGTAAAATAAGAATAATAACAATGGAAAATCCCGAAATACGTGTGAAAACGTTCGAGAATTCCGAAATAGAAGTACTATGTGGTTTATTCCTTACTAGGAGTACGTTTAAAATTCACTGCCATGTTTTGGCATTGCGGATTTTAAACATGGCAGTATATTGACATGAATGGTACCATAATGCCATAAATGTTTGTATTTTATATGGCAGTAATTACTTATATTTAGAAAATAAAAATATATTACTCATATTATGAAATTTCTAATCTTTTTCTCCTAGTTAGGGTTAGGGAAATTTCTTCAATACTAATAATAATAATAATAAACATGGATGGTTGGTTCTTTAATCGGAGGGAATTGGATAGAGAATGAATTATTCATTTTCAATTGGATTCCGAATTCAACATAATCTGATGGTTTATCATGAATTTGTTATTTTTTTCTAAAGAAATTGCTCTATAAAAGAGTAAAAACAATGTGTTGTTTCAAAATATGAGTTTCATATTAATGTTCGATAATGCCAAAGTATGTCAATATGATTTCAGGATGACAATATTTACTTTTATTTTGAAAAAATATGGTACCCTTATTTTGGTCCCTTCTTTCTATACTATGTCCACGTCCAGCCAGTTTCGGTTTAGGAGGTTTCAGACACTACCATATCTAATAGCCTCTTAATTAATGAGAGTTAGGGGATGCTTACTTAAATTTCTATTAAGTCTTGTCTGGATTAAGACGTCTATCTGGATTAAGATGTTTGTCTGGATTAAGTGGCATTTGTATATGAATTAAGTGGCATTTGTATATGAGGTTGATTATACTTGATGATATTAGGCCTGTGACTCGTGACTTTCCTTGAAGGAGAGTCAGGGCCTCACAATAAGATAGCCCTGACTCTCCATGAACTTCAGACACCACTAACGAGGCATTGGTCTTGATAATTGTTCGTATCTACCCGTTTTCCTTTGCCTAAAGAAATGCCTCTCTCACTCCCAGCGCCTCTGTTAACATTGGTGTCCACTCTGCTTTTACAGCCTCACTATGGCCTTGTACAAAATGAGTTCTCATTCCAAGCAACCCATCCCCATGCTCCAACTCCCTATTGATGATCTCGAATTGGAATTTATTAATAATATTCCCGAATAAATTAGATTTAATGAAAAATATATCTGGGGAGAGTGTCACAATCATAACCGCCCGAAAAAAGATCCACTCGAATCTGTCATATGCCTTACTCATGTCTAGTTTTAAGGAAACAAAACCCTCTTTACCTTGACGTTTTCTTTTAGGGTGATGAAGAGTTTCAAAAACAACCATCACATTATCTATATTGACCTTCTAGCAACAAAAGAAATTGGATTCTCTGGAATCTAACCCATCCATAATTCCTTTCATTTGAGTAGCAAGTGATTATTAGAAAATCTTGTACGCCACATTACATAGTGCAACAACTATCATCCTGAAGCCGCACAACACCCAAGTTGGATGTGAAACACTTCCTCTCTTCTCCTTTTCATAAAGGATATCGTTAAAGGCCCCATAACTAGCCAGGGTGAGTTTTTGTGTGCTTGCAAGTTGCCTCAGCAATGTCCAAGGTTCTCTCCTCTTACTATGATCTGGAATCCCATTGTAGCCTGTAAGTCTCCACATGGGTTCCCTTCCTCGAGCCTAACCTTACAATCAATAACATAGGTTTAAGTTTCTGAATTGTAATCTCTATCTCATCCCTCCACAATGGGGGTGTTTGGAAAATGGCGTTCTAGCAAAAAAATTGCTGTTTGACCCCTTTTAGTGTTTTCAATAAGTGAAAATGTTGTTTGGTAAATAGCTGTTCGGCTCTAGTATTGTTGGACGGAACCGCTGAAGAGTTTTGGATTGACGTTTTGAAAAATTACCAAACATCTTCTTGCAACCCGCCAACGTATTCTAATAGTCAAACCCGCTGAGTGAATCCGCTATTGACAACCCGCTACCATAATCCGCTATCCACTAACCGCTAAATGCCAAATACACCCAAGAATGGCAATCCTCCAGTCAGCCCAACACTACAACTGTTTTGATACCTTAAAGCCGTCGGCACTTCTTCTACATAAAACCTCCCCATCTTTGTCTCCATAAGGAAAATCAGCGATGGCCGCTTTTCATAAATCAAGTTTAGCAATCTGCATCATAGCTAGATTTTCTAACCCCCTGCAATTTAGCATACCATGCTCATCCAAAGCAAGCCTGATGTATCATTATCAATAACCAAATCAACTGCTGAGGCGGCTGAACAATAACGAATTACTGACCAGAAAACTAACCCTAGTCCTGCTAGGTACCCGTTCGCTATTATTTTATTACTCCAATTATTACTTAATGAACCTTTTTTGGACAAAAGAATTTCTTTTTCCTAAAATTTTAAAAATATTTTAAATTTGCATCAAGATTAAAATTGGAAGTTTTATCTTAAATTAGTCACGCACCCATACAATTTGAAATGTTTAAGAAGTATGATATATTTATTTCAGTAATTAATTTTAAACATTCTTTAATTCTTGTTGTCATCGTGTTTTGTGATCGTGGAATGTCTTTGTTTACTAAATCCTTACACATTCTTTTTTTTGCAATTCTTTTGCAATTATGCATCAGGAAGGACAATATATATAATAATTGTTTGATGTTCTTTAGGTTTATTTTTCTAAGTCATCCAATGTCTTACAAAAATTCTTGTTGTCATCATGTTTTGTGATTGTGAAATGTTTCTGTTACCTAAAATCCTTACACATTCTTTTCTTGCAATTATGAATATGACAAGGACAATATATATATAATAATTCTTTGATGTTCTTTAGATTTATTTTTCTAAATGCATCAGATGTCTTACAAAAAAACAATTAACATTCACTTCGAGGTAAAATAACTCTCTCTACAGTAATAATAACATATACGGAGCATTACAGAATTAACTATCTTTCCATACCTTAACTATTTAATTGTATAACGGAAATGATAAGGAAGTACTTTTTGACATCTAATATTTTACTATAATGTTTGGTGTACACCCTATATAATCATTCAAAATGTACCATTTATTTTACCCCCTTCAATCTCTCCTCCCTTCTCTATCCATACGGTTCTCTCCTCCCTTTCCTCTTTTTTCCTTCTTCCATCTTCATCACCTCATCTTTAGCATCTTCATATCCAACACCTTTCTTCATTAGCTTTCATCTTCACCATGCCATGTTGTGCCATCTTTTATCTCATCTTCTTCATTATCGTCGGAGTTGTAGTCACTGGAAGTATCGCCGGAAAATAACCGCAGTCCAAGTCACCGGAAATGATATAATTTGTACGCATGAAAAATGAAACTGAAAAACTAATAACACTTTGTAAAATTTTTCCATAGAAAAAAACCTTATGTATACAAACACTAGTTTTCTATTAGTGTTTGTGTACATAGACAAAAAATGTTGCAGAGAAGTCCGAGGTTAGGTGGCACAGAAACCAATGTTTGTGTAGACAGACAAAAAATGTATGGATGCAGGCACTTTTGTTTGTACAGACAACTAATATCAGCGTATTTGACAGTTTTCTTTTATTATATTCCTATTTATTAAGTTTCTTTTAATAGAAATAAATTTTTTTAATAAAAGATTCACTTCATAAAAATATCATTGCACAACTTGAACAGAAAACACTAGATGACTAAAGTGGTGAAATCAACTCAATAAATAACCTTTGATTTTGCAGTACTCTTGGCCAGGGTCTTGAAACAAGTACCTATCCTCTGGAGGTTCTCTTTTCGATAACATTGGGAATTCTTGGGCTCCTACTCTTTGCTCTTCTCATTGGAAACATGCAGGTATTCTGAAGTTCAGATGGTTTGGATTTCTGTATGCCTCAGTTTTTCTGCCCGAGGAATCTTCTGCCAATCATCGAGGGTCCATTTGGACCTCAGAGAATGTTAAGGAAACAAAACAGAAAAGTAGATGCGAATTTTAGATGGAAACAAATTTAGGAAAAAATAACGGTTGAAATTAATAAATTAATTTTAGATGTTTTGTGTATTGTTTTATGTTTATGATTTAAAGACTAATGAACGTAAATATATTTAAAATTTAAAACAATTTGAACCAAATTTGATTTACGCATATTTTCCAATATAAATTACACATGAAAAAAACTATTTAACTTTATAAAAAAAATTTTAAAAATTTTGATCACTTCTTTTCTCCCAATCCTAGCATAGTCTAGTAGTACCATAGTCTTATTACACTATTATGAGTACAGGGAGTATAGGGGCAAGGGGACAAATAAAACTGCAATAAAAAGAAACAATTTTGTGGAAGGTAGAAAGAAAATTCCACATTCTACAAATTGCTCACCGACTCCATTGCTAAAGGAATCCATTACTTATATCTATTGGATATTAGGTACCCAAGACATTATTTTAGAAAGATAATGATCTAAGAAGAAGAACATGAATAGTGTAGAGTAGTATTAGGGGTTGTGTTTGAATGATGATCCTTTTACATGGCTCCCAAGGGGAATATTTATAGGAAAAACATGGACCACGCTGCTAATATGGGCTTGGTAGGACCAATTATATAAAAAACTGTTGAATGATATAAAAGCAAATCTAATAGGTATTAATGAATATTTAAGGAGTACAATAATATAAATGTTATCTAATGGATGTATGTGGGCCATTGTCCATGCCCAATAGTCACAAGACCAAGCTTTCGAGTCCATATACTCTATCATGAGTCCCACACTGTATTCGTTAAGAGTATTCGAGATTAGAGGGAGTAATCTTTCACTGCAATGTGTGGCTCTTTGCTGTATTTTGCCAAGACGCCTTGCCCGATTCCTTGACCGATGATTTGATCTTACTGGCGAGCCTTGTCCAAGCCAACCCTAGGGGAGAAAACTTGGGGTGAAAGTTGCAGGCCTGAGAGGCTGAGACCATCACTAGCGATCGTGGGGCCGAGGGGTTGTGTTTGTGCTCATGGTTGTTGTGGTAACTAGGGCCTCAGACCTTGCTGGTTTAGCCGTGTTTCTAGTTTGGTTTTCAAAAATGTTTTTCAAATGATATATATTGGAAATATGATATGCATGAACATTTTCAAACCTCTTTGATGAATGATGCACTGATGCTTTTAAAACAAATCCCAAGTCGTAGACTAATTCCTCTATGTGCATCAATCCATTTCTTGGAAATCATAGGATAAATGAATTTGGATTCATTTACACACACTTAAGAATAATATCAGTTACATTTGATATATTACTCTTCATCTCATAAAACTATGTCATATTTGATTTTTTTGGTCAATCATGTTCAACTTTGACCAATTATATGTTTTTTTAAGAAATTATTTATAATATAAGAATGATATGAAAATGTTCTTTGTTAAAAGTACTTTCATAAAAGTATTTTTTATCTAACCTAAACTAAACCTGACCTAAACCTAACCTAACCCTTATGGCGCCCAAACTGAGAGCGCCAAACCGGAGGCCAACCCCAAACGGGCAGCCCACTAGACCCAGCGGGACAGTACTGAGAATATCCCTTGAGTCTCAAAGTTGGGTACTTTCAAAAAGTATAAAATTCCTAACTTTCATAATATGATACTAATCAAAATCATAGTCCAAACTTTGACTTTACCACCATCGACTTCAAGTCAAAGATGACAAAGTTTAAGGGACGGAAGTAGTATTTCTTAACAACCAAAACACAAGGATTCATAGAGTTTAGCACGTCAATGCTAACCATCTCTCCCTTTTTTGTGTTGGCCAATGTTTGAAATTGTGTATGGCATAAGCGAGACGTTTTGTAGTATGGCGCATTGGCTAACCCTCATGGCACATTGAGGCGTAATGTTGAAGCGTCAATCTCATTTTGTAGGAAAATTGTGTATTGAAAGAGATAGAAGAAATAACAAATAAATATTAATCCAAAACAACAAATTTCATGTCAAACTAACAAACATGAGGTAAAGAATCCATCATCAATTCCATTAAAAAAAACACATCAATGGATCAAAGTGTATTAGACACAGATACAAATCCAAGCTAAAGCAGTAAACCTATGCTGAGAATAGGGTTTATTGATAGTGAAGGTAAACCGTAGGCAACATGTACAAGACTCTTAGGCAACTGGGACTCTCAAGGCAACATTCAATCCAAAATAACAGTCTGCCTCTCCTTACCTGTTTTATTCTATTTATAGACCTACAGCCCCACTAGCTATAGTCAATAGCTAATAATAGAAGACAATTATTACAAACTTATTCTATTTATTATTATTCTAGGTAGGTTCCTAACAAATCTCCCCCCTAAACAACCACCTTGCCCTCAAGATGGGCGATAGGTGACAGCCAAGATCTTCTGCTTCCTCTTCATCCTGGCGCTCCTGCCTTCCCAATAGTTCACTACTTTCTGAGGGAGAAGCTTCAATACTTGATCTTTCCCACTCAATGATGTTTCCTGAACCTCTTTGCCAGTGTAATTCAACACAGGAACTGAACCACATTTTGTGCTTGAGAATACAGAGTCAGCTTCTTCCTTGACCTGGATAGCATGATCACAAGCCTTGATTGGAGGGAAGTCTAATCTGACTTTAAAAGCTTCAGAAAACTCCTTTACAGCCTCCTCCTCTCCTGTAGAATGCTTTTGTTCCATGTTATATTCTTGCTCTTGTCCCTTATAATTCAGCAGGTTCCCTTCTTCATTCTGTTGCAGAATCAGTGCCATGATTGTGAGAGAAACTGCCATACTATTTAAGGCTATATACCCTTTTATTGAGAGAATCTGACTCTCCTGCTTCCATATAAGGTTCTGGTTGTGGAAATTGACAACAATATCTCCTAATTGAGTTAACCATTCCATTCCAAGCACTAGTTCTGTCCCTTCTAACTCCAGGATGTAAAATACTTGTTGTATGACATTCCCTTGCACTTCTAATTTCAGCCCCAAACATCTGCCACTATTGGGAATGAACTCCCCATTCCCAGTCTGGACCTTGTATCCTTTTATTTTATGGTAGGGAATGTTATACTTGTCTACCAATTCCTGTGATATGAAATTGTGGGTAGCACCACAATCAATGAGAATGTTTACTTGTTTCTCTCCTATAGATCAGCTTAGTTTCCCCATTACCTTAAAAGCTCTCATATAGGGTATACCTTCTTGACTGAGCACTGATAATTGCATCGATTTAAGTTCCGGGTGAGGCCCCTCTTCTTCTTCAGAATTGCTGCAATCCACTTCAGATTCTGCCTCTTCTTCAGAGTTTTCAACCATAACCATTTTGAAAATTTTCATCCGGCATACATGCCCTCTATTCCAGTTTTCCCCACACTTGAAACATAATCCCTTCTTGCTCCTTTCCATCAATTCTTTTTGGGATAAAGTGGGGCCTAGTTTTCCGGAGTTAGAGCCTTCACCTCTCTCCACACTCTTATTTCCAGAAGACTGTGTAGGATTTGGATTACTGCTACTTCTAATCCCTTCTTCCCCTTTCTGATAACTGCTTCCTTTAGATGCAGTGTTCTTCCATGGCCTTTTCCCTTCTTCTTTATTCCTTCTGAACATTATTTCCTCATTCTTATTCTCTATCAGTTGTGCATTATCCATGATTTTAGCAAGATCTTTGGTCTTATATAACTTCAGTTCAGCCTTGATATCTTTCTTTAACCCATTCAAGAAGATACCCCTCATAACCTTCCTGTCCAGACCTTCTTGAGAAGCAATAGCTGTTTCAAATAGTTCTCTGTACTCTTGCACAAATTTTTTTGTTTCAAACTCAACAAAGGGCCCAAAGGATTCTGGATCAACTCAGGATGAAACCTTCGAATCAGTGCCTTCTTCAACCTTTCCCAATTCCTCTCTCTGGCTTGTTTCTCCCACCATTGAATCCATCCCAGGGCTTTGCCTTCCATGGCTACTACTGCAACTTCTATCTTCTCCTCTTCTATATTGTTGAGTCGGAAATAACGCTCAATCCTGACCAGCCAGCCAAAAGCGTCTTCACCGTTGAATAAAGGTAGGTCTACCTTTCTGTGCGTCTGACGATGATGATGGCGATGCCGGTGTTGTGGTGAAAACTCCTGGTGATCTTCCGATTCATCAGAACTGTCACTCGATTGCGTCGAGTGATGATGCGATGAATGACGCGATGTCGACGAGGCATGCGATCGACTTCGCGAGCGATGTTGATCCCGCGTATCCAGCCTAGCGAGAACTTCGGTCATCATTTTCTCCAACTGATCTAATCGTGAATCCATCTTCGCGCGCGTCAATACCATCAACAACGATCAACCGCTCTGATACCAATGTTAGACACAGATACAAATCCAAGCTAAAGCAGTAAACGGACACACAGATCCGATCGGAAATATGCTGAGAATAGGGTTTATTGATAGTGAAGGTAAACCGTAGGCAACATGTACAAGACTCTTAGGCAACTGGGACTCTCAAGGCCATTCAATCCAAAATAACAGTCTGCCTCTCCTTACCTGTTTTATTCTATTTATAGACCTACAGCCCCACTAGCTATAGTCAACAGCTAATAATAGAAGACAATTATTACAAACTTATTCTATTTATTATTATTCTAGGTAGGTCCCTAACAAAGTGGTATGTTCAAAAATCACGTGGAAGACATTTTCTAGCTACTTAAGTTATAAGATCATTAGTTTGAGGGGTGCGACTTTCATAATGAGCAACTGTGAGCTATCAATAATCTTTAACAACACAAAGTAAAAACACACTGTCAGCATCATTTGTTACAATTCAAAACGATCTTTATCTTTATCATATTAAGAATCATACAATTTGATATTGAAATATACAAATGTTAACCATCATAAATATTGAGTTCATATTTTAATGTTTCTTGTACATATTGAAACTTTTTACAATAACAAAATCAACATCCAAGCCATAATTCCAAAAGAGTTTGGGATCGAGTAACATGAGTCGACACATGAAATCAGAGTTAAAAAGATAAGAAACATAAAAAGATAAAAAAGATATATATGGTAAGACAAAGGAAATGAAAACGATAAGATAAACATCATATAATGATAAATATAAGATAAATATAGAAATGATAGGGTAAAAAGGAGAAAAATATAAGATAAAAAGGATAAATGATAAAGATCATAAGAAAGATAGAGAAAATAAAAAAGATAGAAGGATAAAAAAGATTAAAGAGATCAATCCTCCACACTAATATTCTCCCTTCACTTTGCCCTCTCCATAATAATACTCTCATTCAACCCAAGAAAAATCATATCACTCTCGACTCTTATAATCCATATCTGTTTAGATCTTCCTCTCCCTCTCCTCTTTGCCCCTTCTCCTCATCTTTCAACTCGTCTAACAGGTGCATTACTCTGTTTACTACGCACATGAACAAACCACCGCAATCGAGATTCTCACATCTTTATTGCAATAGGGTGCTGCTCACACATCTTGTCTGATTATCTTATTCTTCAAGCGGTTCTTTCTATTGTGTCCACAAATCCAATGCAACATGCACATCTCAGTCACACTCATCTTTTGAACGTGACATTGTTTCACCGTCTAACACTCTATGCCATACAACAATGCCAGCATAATTGTTGTCCAATAAAACTTACCCTTTAGTCTAGAAAGACAATATTTTATAAAATTGGAATAAACATGAAGAAACAAGCATGAGTAAGGTAGAAAGAAAGAACATAAATTACCCGAAAGATATTCCTCAGCAACACTAGCTTGCCAAAGAGCCTAAGGCTGCCCAACTGTAAAACAGCCTTGATTCTACAAATATCCCAATGGCTCCAATGCTAAAGGAAGTCATTATTTATACCTATGAGGCTATGACAATACTTAGACAAGGTAAAATATACTACCTCCGTCTCTTTTATATTGGTACGGAGGAGGGTGGCACGATTGTTAAGAAAAGTGAGTTTGTGTGGTTGATATTAATTGATAAAGTAAGAATAAAGTAAAAATGATTTAGATCCACACAAACTTTACCAAATATGGTATGAGACAATATTAATGGGACTTCCCAAAAAGGTAAAACGGGACAATATAAGGGGGACGGAGGGAGTAATTAATAATCAATTACCTCTTATATCATGATCTATTGCTACAATCTTTCATTGCTGTAAATCTGATTCATTATGATCATTTGATTTATTCTCTGGTTTGCCTTGATTGGTCCTCTGATTTCTTTCTTTCCATGGAGGTTTTCCTTTATATTGTTTACCTCTACAATAAGCGTTTATATTGCAATTGATTTTCTTTTGTTATTCAACAGACATATCTTCAATCTATAACGGTTAGGCTTGAAGAGATGAGGATAAAAAGACGTGATTCAGAGCAGTGGATGCATCATAGGGTGTTACCATCAGATCTCAGGGAAAGAGTAAGATCTTATGATCAGTACAGATGGTTGGAAACAAGAGGAGTAGATGAGGAGAGTTTGGTGCAGAACCTGCCAGCAGACCTCAGAAGGGATATCAAGCGCCATCTGTGTTTGAATTTGGTTAGGAGGGTATGTATTGTATTTCTAAGTATGCTATTTATTACTCGCTAATTGAGCCATTTTTCATAAATGATATTCTCTTCATCCCAAAAATGAAATCCTGTTATGATACTTGCTATTTTTGCATTTGAATTTATTTTTGGATTTGAATTTATTTTTGTACAAAAAGAAGTTTGACTTTGAGACATTTTTGTCCCAAGAAAAGAGTTCTATTTCAGAAAAAAGTGTGCTTTATTAAGATTGTATTTTTTGTCCCAAAAAGAATCCTAACCAGTGTTCTAAACATTGCCTAGCCCGCCTCGGTATTCCCTTTATTTCTTATTCTTTTATTTTCTCCAATTTTTAACATTATTAACTAATAATTTTATAATTTTTTGACAATAGAAATAGCTCATATAATTATTAAATGTTATTCCCTCCGTACTTTAAAGACGGCTACATAGGCTTTTGCTCATATAATTGAATAGTGTAGAAAATTCGGAGAGAACATGGAAAAGTATGAATAAGAAATAAAAAGTAGAAAAAGCAGGGCTGGATGATTGAATATTTTGAAGGAAAATCTTACCTAAAAGGGAAAATGTAGTTTTAAATGCATCCTAAGAGGAAAGTGTAGCAAATTGTAAAATGCGGGGCTATGTTTTTGCAGTAAAATTATGAATAGTAAAATAATTAATAGAGAAGTTTAAATAAAATAAGAGATTTGTGTTTTTTAGTCTCTAAAAATGTTCATACACACTCTAAAAAGTTTATATACATTTTAATAATTATTTTTTTTATCATAGGGATATGAAAATATTTTTTTTAGAATAGAATAATTTTTTTATCAAAATAGTATTTTAAGACATACTACGTAATAGAGACTATTAATTAGGTCGGGAACAAATTTAATCTGGGCCACCTAGGCACCTGACCGATTTTTCTCACCGATTACAATGAAATTGGCGCTCCGAGCCACCGTCTTGCGCCTAGGCCGAGTTTATAATGTATTTAATCCCAAAAAGTATTCCAAATAACTAAAATAGGTTAGATTTGGTTTTAAAACAAGAGTTGTAAAGTTATACTCTCTCCCATCTCGATTAGATGTAAAATGTCCCTTACTCATATTTGGAAAGTTATTTATTATTTTTTGTATTTAGATTTTCGGCAGCTTCTAATTTAATTATTTATATGCTCTTTATACTCCCACCACCGCGCAATTAAGTTAGTAGTTGAGTCCACGGGTGTTTACGCCCAATAGTTTTTTGATTGATTTTCCAATTATACTCTTTTTGAAAAACATGATAGAGAAAAAATAATGTACCTTTAATGGCGGTAAAAGAGCATTTTATCACTCAAATATCACCAAAAATAGAAGTAAGAAATTTATTTTGGCATTTCCAAAAAGGAAAGTATACTTAATGATGAGATGGGGGGAGTACATTTTTCTTCTCTTTCCTACATTTCCTTCTCCGTGCTTTTTCTACCCTATTAATTACTCCGTACAATTTTTCTTAATCTTCGTGAAAAACCAATGCAGTTGGACATTGATGAAACATGACTCTTCTGTAGACATATAGAGTAATGTACTGGTGTAAATAATAAGGGGGTGTTTGGATTAAATTCTTAAAACTACTTTTGCTTCTTCAGGAAGTAGAAACAGATATTGAAGTGTTTGGATGAAAGTGCATAAGTACTTTTGAGTACTCCAAAATGCTTTTGGAAGCAGTTTTTTAGAAGTTGGGGCACTTCTAAAAAACTATTTTGATTCTACTTTTATTTTGAAAAAGAAACAGAAGTAAAATCATTGCATCAAATTACGTCTTAACCCATCCTTTTAGCATGGTGTCAAAGCACATAGAGAACTCTTTTATAGTTGAGGTGGAAAACATCATTCAATTCTCATACACAAACTTGTATTGAGAGTTATTCGAAACGTACTTACATACTCATTCTTTTTGGTTTCATGCATCAAATTGCAGGTCCCTCTTTTTGCTAACATGGACGAGAGACTGCTTGACGCCTTATGTGAGCGACTCAAACCGTGCTTGTTCACGGAGAAGACATACATCGTACGAGAGGGTGATCCGGTGGATGAGATGCTTTTTATCATCCGCGGTCGGTTGGAGAGCGTGACGACGGATGGCGGGAGAAGCGGTTTCTTCAACCGTGGGATCCTAAAAGAGAGCGAGTTCTGCGGGGAGGAGCTGCTGACTTGGGCCCTGGATCCGAAAGCGGGTGCCAACCTGCCCCCGTCAACTCGCACCGTCACGGCATTGACAGAGGTGGAGGCGTTTGCATTGAGCGCAGATGAAGTCAAGTTCATATCATCCCAGTTCAGGCGCATCCATAGCCGGCAGGTGCAACACACTTTCCGCTTCTACTCTCAGCAGTGGAGGACATGGGCTGCAATGTTCATCCAGGCCGCATGGCGGCGTCACGTCCGCAGGAAAAACACTGATTTGCGCCAGAGCGAGTCCGACAACAACTATGATGATGATGATGATGATGATGAGACTTGTCTTATTTCATCCGTCCCTAATAGCAGCATGGGTGCAACCATGTTTGCGTCTCGTTTTGCTGCCAATGCGTTGTATAAGGTGCGAAAATCTAAATCTAATAACACCATCATCAACCCACCGAAGCCCCCTGAGCCTGACTTTGAAACTGATGTGTAATTTATTCAAGGAAAGTTAACAATGAACAATAATTTTTGTATGTAGTATAGTAGTAGGTATTACAAAACGATCATATAAGACTGACTACCTTAAGTTCGTGGACAGATCTAGAAATTTTCTATACTTCTATAGTTACGTTGATCAGTTGATGGTGAAAGTAACTCCCAGTTGTCACCTAATTGTCATAAAACAAAGTTGGGGGTGCAAATACAAATTTTTATTACCTCCCTTTTCTTGTATCATACTCGTGCAACGAAGCACGGCTAAATATAGCTTTGATTAAATTTTAACATGTCGTAAAGGGAAATAAAGGAAATACATTTGAGATTGTACAAATAAAGAAAATCAAAAGGGGAAAATTTTAATACTAGTATGTAGTATTAATGAAATCATGATTGGTCAATAAGACAATAACTAGGACGTGCATGCATCTAGAATGAGACATAATCAAATTGTGTAGGAAAAATACCCACTATTGTACCCACTTTTGTACCCACCATGTCTTCATATACATATTTGTGTCTATGACCGGGATTCACAGACAAAAAAAAAACTCCTCACAGACATGGTGGGTACAAAAATGGGTACAATAGTGGGTACAACAAGAAAAATCCAATTGTGTAGCAGTGTAAGGTGCGCGGGTGTACTGTAATGCGGAGTATTACAAATGATAGTCTCTCCAATTGGGCTTTGTTTGCAAGTGCTTGTGTTTAAATAAAAACACTTTTTGGGAAAAAGTGATTAGTAAAAGTTGATAGTGTTTGGTAAAATAAGTGCTTTTTGTGTAATAGAAAAGGTAAAAAGTTGATTATACACGAAAGCTGAGAAAGTAAAAGTTGGTAGTGTTTGATAAAATAAGTGTTTTTTCTTTAAAAAAGTCACATGCACTTAAATTAAGGGCTTGCAAACAGAGCCTTGCTTTGGAGGTAAGTTGTAGGAAGGAAAGGAAGGGGAAGGTGAATAAGCTCTTCTTGTTTGGAAGTAATAAATTTGGAAGGGAAAATTGTCAATTTAGTCCTCGTACTATCACGAAAAAGTCAATTAGATCTTCTTACTTTAAAAAAAATCAATCAAATCCCCGAACTTTGTAAAAACGTTCAATTGAGTCCATTTGCAGGTTACTTGCCATGTCAGTGGGTCATTCACTGACGTGGCACACACGCGGCAGTCCATTTGATGGTTACTTGCAGCTACCGCGTCGTCCGCGCGTAAAACGCAGGACGACAAGCCCGAAAGAAGGCTGAGGTAACAAAAACTCTCTAGTCAGTAACATTTCTAAAGGACCAACAAAGATAGCCGTTGCGAAACTAACGACAAGTCTGGTCCCTCATCATAAATAGGCCTGGAAAGGCTCCGAAACAAAGCCACTGACCCACTAAAGCCGAGGGCACAGTGATCCCCTCGTCTTAGTCCACGCGAAAAAGCGTAGCGGAAAATACCCGCGAATGGCTGGAGGAACAGCAACCCTTTGCCCACAACCATAAATAGGCCACACTCCTCGCTCAAAGAAGCAAATAGGAAGTTAAAAAAAAGGGAAGCCGACGGACCGCGCACTCGCCAGCCTCGAGAAAAAAAAAATAAAATCCCCACAAGTCAAGCCACATTTGGCCTAAGTACATATCAGGCAATACCCATCAAGAACAAAGCAAAGGCTGATAAAACATCCCGGACGAAGGCTCGCAAAAGAGGGACACTTAGACAAGGTGAAACACCTCGTCTTACTAAGGGAATCACAGAACTCCCACTTAGAAAAAACTGTAAGTATGAGAATGTCATCCCTTCGGCCATACAAGGGCAACGTCTTTCCATCGGAGAAGGTAAACCAAAAGCACAGACAAATCTCAAGACAAGGATCAAGGACGATACGAAACAACGACAGAAGAAAAGGAAAAGATGTGCACTGCAAGACGATGTCATTCATAAAATGATAAGTACATATGGGGGCGCAACAGCCATTACATTACGGGCACAACGACCTCTAAACTATCATGGAAGAATAAAAAATAAGAGAAGTACAAAGGGAAACTAGGCCTCATCGTCGACTTGATCTCCCCTCTGGCCGACATTCTCCCCGGCTTCACCATCTTCTTCATCACCATCATCTTCAGCTCCTTCTTTGGAATCAACAGTGTCCTCGAGCATGTCGTCATCACTCCAAGGCTCTTCTCCTTCATCCGAGCTGAGGATGGGAGGTTCCCTTTGCTCAATAGGCAGCTCAAGCTCTGCCTCCGGATTATTCATTCGATGAGGAAGGTTTAGGCCCTTCGGCTTCATCTTCCTAAAACGCTGACGAAGCTTCCTGTAAACCAACCTCTTCATTCGCCATTGGCCAAGGTCATAAAGAACCTTCATATCCTTTCGTCAATACCTTTGGTCGGCATGGTCATTTTTCGCCCAGTCCTCGAATCGCTCGGCTACAACTTTGTAACACCTGGAACGCCGGTCGTCTTCTTTTCAGCCCTCGTCCAAAAATGTTTCTATACATTTATCAGTAGCCTCCTTGACCCTGATCTTCAGTTGCCTCGCCTCTTCGGCTTATTCCTTCTCAGAAGCAAGGGCTTCCTTGGCTTTCTTCCTGACTGCAATCTCCTCATCCAACTTGGTTTGAAGGGCCTGTTTTTCTTCATCGTCCTTCTTCTTCAGTCCATCCAGCTCGACGCGAAGCTGCTCCAGGGCATTCAAAGCCTCATCGGCTGAGACAACTTTCTTTTCAAACTCCTTCAATCGAGCTATTTTGGCCTTCTGCCTCAAGTGTTGCTCTCTCAACATAAAGGCACCCTGGACGAAGAAAGCACATGCAAAGAACATCTTAAAGACAACCAAGCAAAAGCAAAATATATACTTACGGAGATGATGTAGTCCATGCCCCCATCGTACAACTGCACGTTGTCTCTCTGACGACTCATATACAAGCGGTCCTCTTCTGGGATGCCCTGATCAATCACGTTCTCCCCAGTGACGCCGTCGTTGAAAATGCCACCCTTCGTCGGGTAACGGACGGTGACTTCATATAACCCCTTCCCCAATTCCTTACCGGGGCGAGCCTTAGCCGATGCAGCCTTAACAATCTTTGGGTAGGACATAGTAAGGGCAGCCAAGGAAGGCTCCATGGTTAAATCCACCAACGACGCGGCATCCACGACGTCCTCACCACCGGCCGCAGCGTGGACACCCAGAGCTCCGGCCTCCTCACTTGCGAAAGACTTCTTCGTCTTCTTTTCCACCTTCGCCGGCTGCAGACCGGCCTTAGTTTAAGTCTTCTGCCCCTCATCAGCAGACCTCTTCTTCTTTGAAACAGGAGGTTTCTTGGCGGCCTCAGCTTTTCCTTGGGAACCATCAGCAGAACCCTTTGAGCCGCTAACAGCCACGTCGGCCTTCTTTCTCGCCTCCACCAACTTTACGGCTTCAGCCATGAAAGACATACAGTTCATATTGAAGCCTGCAAATACATAAGGATGGTTAGTCAAAAAACAAAAGACAAAGCAAAAAAAACTTCAAGAACATGATCAACCTTCGGCCTCGGCAGGCACACCCAGGCGAGGCCCGTCGGCCTGTTCATAGGAGCCAGACATCTTCGTCCAGTAACCATTATCCACATCCCCAGGACAGTAGTACCTTACAAAGCCAAGGGTGGCCATCTTATATTCGGTGATGTAGTCTTTCACGCTCCTTGGCCCAGCCTCCACGAAGGCTTTCACCTGGGCATCAATGGTGGCTCTACTTGACGGATCATGCAAATGGAAAATCCCCGAATGATTTACCGAGGGAAAGAACCCACCCTCACCCAACGTCATAAACACAAACTTTGCCTTCCAACCATGAATGGCGTCGGCAAGTCTTTGAATGTTCTCTTCTTGCTAATCTGCTGAAGGGCGGCATAACCCGCGCAATTCTGATGACTCCCCCGGCTTATCCAGTACAGATTCATAAAGAGGGCAGTCGTCGGCTCAATACCCAACTCCTTACAACGCATAAGAAACCTGATAATCAGCGAGTGCTGTTTGGGGTCAATAGGGCTGGAGGGAGACCCACCATGTTCAAGTATTCCGTAATAAAGGGATGAAGCGGGAATCTCAGACCTTTAGCAAAACTCATCGGATACACTCCAAAGTACCCCTCAGGAGGATTCAGTACATGGTCCGTCGACTTGGGGGCCCTCATTCGGATGTAGGGACCCACATACAATTGGGCAACATGATATTCACCCAAGGAACCTTCAGGCCAGATAATGTACATATTACTTAGATCCAATCGAGAACAGCCCGGAGGGAGACCTTTTGTACTTTACGCCAATATTTTTTCTTGGAAATATCGGCCGAAGTGCTCGCTCCCATAACAGACGATATTGGATGAGGACAAGGGATCACGGCCGAAGAAGAAGCCTCGTCCCCCCTCAAAGGCAAACCAGAATCCGCCTCGTCCTCGCCAGAGTTCTGAGAACCCGCATCGTCACTCAACCTCTCTTCATCAACCGAAGTGCGATAATCGGTTGTGTTCTCCATTTAAACGTTGAAGTCTTCCACGAGCTTCAAAGCAACCCGAGGGGATGTATCGTCCTCGTCAAAAAGTAGTACTCCTCGTCCAGAGAGGCTGTTAAGTCAACAGGGGAAAGAACGCTACGTCCGTCAGGGAATGACATAACAACTAAAGCGAGTCCTAGGGTGGTTTCTTGGATCAAAGTGATTCTCCTACAAACACTAGATCTAACCCCTTAGGAAGCAAAATATTAAAGAAATGATAAGAACAGGTGAAGAACCTAACCTTTGAAGATTTGAAGAACGTTTGAACACCTGGAGATCTGGGAAAGCTTTCTCTCTCTAGGAATTTCAGCAGCACTTCGTTACTCAGCAAAACGCAAATGAGGGAAAGGATTCAGATCAAAGGGTATTTATAAACAACCCCTCCAACGGTCACCACCACGTGGCACTTCACCATTGGGTGCACCAGCGGCCAGCTCCATTGGGGCCAATGAGACGGTGTCCATTCAAATTCCCTCCTAAACACCTTCACTACGGTTCAACCGGCCACAACAATGGGTCAGGCAACAGCCACATCACCATGGTCATTGCAACGGCCAAACCACCAGCAAAGAATCCTCCCTACGGCTCAAACTAGTTTGACAACTGAGGATGGCATTTCAACGGCCAAAAGCCAAAGATTAACACAAAACTAAGGCCTACTGCCACTCACACACTACTCGTTTGATAATAACCTCTAGCTTGCGAC